CACCCACCGCGGGCAGTCGGGGTGCCTCCGCGGGCGTCCCTCACACAGGCGCGGCCGGCGTGGACAGCGCCCCGCTCACCTGGGAGCTGTTCTTCTCCCCCAGGCTGTGGGCGTCCGCCTCAGAGGTCCGGCTGGCATCCTGCGGGGTCTGGGACCGCGGCGGGCTTGGGGCAGAGGGCGCAAGGGAGAGGCTGAGCCCGCCCGCCCCCGCGCCCCCCGCACCCCCACCGCCTAGCCGCCCCGCCCACCTGCCGCAGTGCGAGCTCTTGGAGCTGCTCCTGCCCGACTCGTGCTGTGCGTCCAGCAGGATCTTCTCCATGTCCCCGTTGTAGATGGACACGGAGGCCGGCGCACCGCCGTTGCTGCTGAAGTGCAGCTCCACCCAGGAGCCTGCGAAGAGCGGCCCGCCTGAGCCCCTGGGCAGCAGCAGCTGGCCCCGGAGTGAGCCCAGGCCCCGCGGGCGCGGCTCTCCCCACACCTCGGCCGAGGGGCCCACTGGCCACCTGCCCTCCCCACGCCCCAGCCCGTCCCTGCAGAACTCTGGGCCTGGAGGTGGCCCCTGCTGCTGGCGGCCAGGGACCCACCAGAAACACCCACGCCCTGCCTCCAGGGGACGGGTCACCCTGGAGGGCCTTGAGGGGAGGCACAGAGGCCAGCGATTGGTGCCGCAGCAGCCCGTGACCACAGACCCAGCACCAGGCTTGCTCGCCAGATGCGGTGGGAACCGGCTGCTGCAGGCTCAGGGAGTGCGGGGCCCCCTTGCGCAGGCCCAAGGGAACCCCTCTGAGGCCAGGCGGCCGCCCCCTCAGTCCCGGCTGGGCAGAGGCGCCCCCGCCCAGGGCCGGCTGGGAAAGGGCCGAGCGGCGGTTTATCATTAACCAGCCCCAAAGCGGCCAGGCGCGGGCGCTCCCCCGGCAACTACCAGGTCAGGTCACGCGTTGTCCTAAGCAAGTCGGCGGGGACCAGGGCCCCCCACCCCCAGCCAGCAGAGACCTGTGGGCGCCCGGCAGCCCCTACACTCAGGGTCTCCCCAGCCGGCGGGGCGGGGGGTTCCAGACCTCGTTGAACCCCAAAGCAGCAACTGCCGCCCACAGTCCTCACCCTGTGGTCGGCACTCGCCCACTCCCGCGTCCCCCCACTCTCTCCCGGGATTCGGAAAATCAGCCGCTCCAAGCGCCCAGCAGGGCCGGCCGGGCGGCCGCGGGGTGGGGGTCCCCG